AAAACAAAGATCCAAACAGCGGTTGTTCTGGTTAATATCATGATTGATTTGAGAAACAGTTGCCGAGCTGCAATTGTCCAGAAGGAGCGAAGCGTTGGAATGGATGACAGAGTGATCCATATCAGTATAGAGGAAGCCGTTGTAATGTTTTTTTTTTCATAAAAGCACCGGGAGATTGAAGTCACCAAACACCCGATCAATTCTCCGATCAATTCTCTACAACTTCTCAATTCTCTAGTCCAATCAATTCTCTACAACTTTTTTTTAGATACAATTTTGATACAATAAACGGTTTAAAAGCTAGAATTTATTGAAAAATTCATATGTGAAAACATATACGTCCCTTTAAATAATTATTTTTGAGTAAATGTGGGATGAATAATACGGTTTTTATCACCGTCTTCGACTAGTTGTACAGACTGAACTATTTTACTTATAAACTAGAAATTACTACTAATCCTATTTCTAAAAACGTTTTTAGTCAAGTTAAAATCGAATTCGTCACAGACAACATTGAACAAGCGAAGACACGAATCGAAAGGGTTGTTGTAGCCGTAGTTTGTTCTGTGGTATGGGACTGCTATTAAAGCTGAGCTCCGAAACCGTCGAGGAGGAATGTTGAGCGGGATCTGTGCGAGAAGTTCAGGGCAATCTATAGATCCTCCAATGAGATCGAAAATTGTGTGGCAAGCACAATTATACTTTATGCCCAGGGAAGTCGAGAAAATGTCCAACCCGAAAGATTCCCTCGACCGGACCGGGAATCGAACCCTCCGCCTCCGGTTTGGTAATACCGTGCCTTTACTGACTAGGCTATGAGGCCCCTGCCTGGTTCTCCCAGCAGCTGGTGCAATTCGTGGTTCATCCGCCTCCTCCACGATCCGTCATCCATCGGCACTCCACCGTAGATGGTACGCAACACCTTCCGTTCGAAAACACCAAGGGCGCGTTGGTCCTCCACGAGCATAGTCCAGGTCTCGTGGCCGTAGAGGACCACCGGTCTAATCAGCGTCTTGTAGACAGTCAACTTCGTGCGGCGGCGAATTTTATTCGACCGGAGCGTCCTCCGGAGTCCAAAGTAGGCACGATTCCCTGCCATAATGCGTCTTTGAATTTCTCTGCTGGTATCATTATCGGCGGTCACCAGTGAATCCTCTATTCTATTTATCACATGAAAGATTATTTACCGCATAACAACTAACAAACTCTCTTCTGTTCTTTCTAAGGACCAATGTCGCAAACGTAAACATTTACGTCTTCTGTGAATTTCTCGAAGATGCAAACTCGCTCAAGTAAACTACCACACGATTATGTAGATTGTGATAGAATTAGTGGCTCACATTGGTAGACTTTAAAATAGGGAAATTTTACGAAAGAAGACATTGTTTACGTTTGCGACATTGGTCCTTATGAACGCTCTGAGATGTTGAGTGCGATCAGGAATGTGGGTGCTTCGAGAACACCGATAACAATCAGGATAACGGGTTCTTTCGGATCGAGCAGCAGCAGGTTTGCGGTACTTGCTTGGATACTTGCACGGATGAGAATCATTAAATTGAGCATCTTCCCTAGTAGCACCCTTGTTATAAATTGGTCTTGGAAACTTATATACGACTTATTTCAGTTATAAACAAGGGTTCTTATTACGGGTTTCACCTCACGGTGAAAACGAAGTGAAGTGAGCAATTGTCACTCACGGTGAAGTGATTACCGTGTAAATCAAATGGGAATCACTGCAACTTTTTGGGACAGAATTGTGCTACTTGGGTTCCGGGTGGGAGACTGAGGTGCTTGGAAGAGAAAAGAGTTTGTTGGTTGGGAGCGGTATAGGAGGAGTACCGGAGTGCGGCGAGTGGTTAGGGGGATTTGCGAGGTCGCTGATATTCAGGCAGATTAGAGCGATTGGAGTGTGTGGGTCAGAGAATGGGACGATGGTCATGGACCAGAAACAGAGGAGGGAGGGGACGAGTATTTAAGCCGGATCTATTTGGGAATGGAAAGGAGAATTCAGATTTGCTGACTTGACCCCGGGGGTGAATTCTAGTTCTGTTCTTAAAGAATTATTCCAGAAGTTGGATGTTTCCAGTAGCTGATCGGCTGCCAACTGGACGGAAGATTGGTAGGTGAGGGCAGCGACGATGTTAAATAAGAGACGCGCGAAGACTGAAGCCAAAAGTTCCAATCGAACCGTCAAACGCGGTTCCAATTGAGCAATGTAAATAAACACGAGCGCTTCACGAAGAAAAGCGTGAGAAGTATTGAGATTGGGGTTGAATTTAATTGTTGAGGTTGGTTGTCTTTATTAAGGCGATTTTCAGCCAGACTCTGGTTAACTGTTGAGATTTAAATAATTATAATTAAGTTTGCGTATTAAAAGTGAAATTGGATAGGGAATATTATTGTTATTCACCGGCTGCATTCTCGTTATGTTCTCACGAAAAAAAATTGTGTAATTTTTAAGTTTTTATTTTTCGAACAAAGTTTGTTTCTCCAAAGTCATCTCGTCTAGAAAATCATCTCGTGAAGGTTTCAATTCAATGCAAGAATTGCCATTACATTTGTTTAATGAAACTTATGCAGAGGATGTAATAAATCCAACCTTCCATTGGACGTAAGAGAAATTTGTTTTGTGAGCTTGAGCTTGAGCTTGAGCTTGATTGACCGCCCACGGTTGCTACTCTGTTACTGCCAGATCAGCTGTAATTACGCAGAGAACCAATAGACGATGCTTGGGACTAGCAATCATCCTCAATGTGTAAAAACTGGTGATCTTAAATTAGGCAATACCAGCGCCGGCCGCGCCCGAACACAGGTCAAGAAAGGAATGGGAAGGATTGTGTTGACATGACACTCGCTTTGATGGAAGCCGAGAACACCTCTGCACTTCCACGAGGAATCACTGGGATGTTGGATAAGAGGGTTGGGTTTGCAGCAGGGTTCGTTTTGGTAAACGATAAGCTGAATTGATGTCCTAACGATCATATATCGCGAAGGAGCTTGGGACTAAACCCAAGGTCTTCTGCTCAGTAAGCAAAAACGTTTGCCACTAGGCAGACGAGCACCTTTTTAATCACCGAGTTGCTGTCATATTAACAAATAAAACGATTGACGAATCTTGAATGTGGATGGGCCTGAGATTAGACTCATGATGTTCTGCTCAGTAAGCAAAAACGGTTGCTCTAAGGCCACCGAGCCCCTCATATCACATAATACCGTGCTCAAATTTGTGTATCCATTCAAACCCGGAACCAACGACAACAACGAGTTTCGCAAAATACACGATACACAAGCGATTTTACCATAAATCTCTTTGATATGTAAGGACCTGGGACCGCGTTTTTCTGCTCAGTAAGCAGGCCACTGTAACCGACGATCTTTCAAATCCGAAAACTAAAAACTACGAAAAAGTACTTAGGCCTTCATTAAGTTCCACTTTCACGCGACGTTCAATGACAGGGTCCTATCCAGGATTACATCTGAAAAATCCAAATCTGGCCAACGCCCACCTAAACCTGTTCTAATCCACCTGAAATGACTAACGAATGGAAGACTTTGACTACCCAGCCATGCAATAGTCTCATTCCGTGCCTTATGGCAACTTGATGATTCTATTGCGCTCATCTTTTGGCACCACCCAGGGGAGACTTGGTCCTGTACCCAATGCTTAACTTATCTCCATTCCACTTAGCTACTCGCAATTTCTTGTGATATAGTGGGCGGAATATTATTATATGAGACAATTCAATGCAGACGTCTTTCCAAATTTGGCAGATCGACAGGTAATCGGTGAGTTACCACGATAGTTGCTATTCAACAACTCGACTGTTGTGATTCAAGAATTGCAATAAACACTTCGAGAATACTTTTGGTTTTAAGGTTGATTTTATTGAAACTCAATACGTCAGGTTATCTTACGAAGACATGGTACAATATCGATAGTTCATTATTTAAATAGTTCATTTCTGCTTCACATTCTCACACTCCCTATCTCCCTATTGCCTATATATGAGATAGCACACATTCAAATACTACTAGCAAGTTTGTATGCAAGAGGCAAAGCTTCTAGCTGACCACTAAAGCTTCTCCATTCAATATTGCATACAATACCATATGCGAATAACAGTTACGGCTCGCATCTCTCATGTTTACACTGACAATTGTCATCCGATGTGTCAGTACCGATCTATCAGTTGAATGGTAAATTGTTATTGTTTACTCCACAAGACGATGGTGATAATATCACCGCAGTTTGTTTCTCAACATCGACAACGTCCCATCGTCAACGCCTGCTATGATAATTTCCCATTGCAGACGCCAACGAAATGACGTCATCGAGCTATCGATCAACTACCCTGGTTATCGCCTGGTACCTTATAGCACGATGCTAGGAGGCGAACCGGAAAAATCGATGAGCTACCTCTCCCCCATAAGAGAAATTTGTTTTGTGTTTAGTTGAGAAATACAACATAATTTTGTCTGTCAATATCGGTTTAAAGACTATCGACTCCGTAAAGTTATTTTTTTTTTCTTTTAACAGTGGAGTCTTACCAAAAAACCTTAAGTATAAAAAATCTTAAAAAGTTCAAAAAATTCGTCCAGTTTTTTGGGTGCATGTTCCCAAGATTTTACCAGTTATGTTTGAAAAACTATTGGCAACCCTGGCTATAAGCAAGCTGTGGTGGATTTATTTACCAGCCATCTTCGGTGGTCAATTGCCAAAACAAATATTTAAAGATTATGACAACGCTGCTGAGAGACAATCTACTACAGATGCGCAGCGAAAAACACCTTTTCGGCTGATATTACCTCTGCTGTCAAGTAAATCGTCTCTGTATTCACACGCAAAGGCACCCCTTAATCGAAAGCAATTCAACCAATCGACCGGTCGCTATCTCATAATTACGAAACTTATGCACCACTAAACCTACAACCTATGTGTATGTGGATGGTTGGGAACAATCTTATCGAAAGCGGTCCTCAGTCGAGTACTGATTGGGTTTACAAGCGGACGGAAAGATTCTCTACAGCAATGGCACTGGATTTGTATTACATGCCACTTTCGGCTCCCTGCCAATCGATTCGCCTTTTGGCCAAGGGCATGAATTTGCACCTGAACTTGGTCTTCTTGGATCTCTTCAAGGGCGAACACATGAAGCCGGAGTTCCTCAAGGTAAGTGTCGTGTTTCACAACCTATTAGTGTCAATATAGTGACGTTTGGGTGTTCCTCTACGTTCAGATCAATCCACAACATGTGATTCCAACGTTGGTCGACAACGACTTTGTCCTGTGGGAATCGCGTGCCATCCTAATCTATCTGTGCGAAAAGTACGGCAAGAATGACAAGTTCTACCCGCGTGACCCGAAGAAGCGGGCCGTCGTCAACCAGCGGTTGTACTTCGACATGGGAACCCTGTATCAGCGATTCTCCCAGTACTACTATCCGGCAATTTTCGAGGGTCAGAAGTTCGAAGAGGAAAAGTTCCAAAAACTGGAGGAAGCTTTCGATTTTCTCGAAATCTACCTCGGACAGAATACGTACGTTGCGGGCGATAAGGTCACCATTGCCGATTTCTGCTGCTTGGCGTCGATCACCACTATGAAAGTCTCCGCTGGCATCGACTTTTCCAAGTACGGCAACATCGAACGTTGGTATGCGCTACTGGCTGAAGAAGTGGCTGGTCATGATGAGGTTTGCGTCCAGGGAGCACAGGAATTTCTGCCATTTTTCCAAGCCGCCCGTAAGGCAACCGAGGAGCAATAGTTGAGTTTAACTGATGTGAAATGTGTGAAATAAAGTTACCCGAGAGATAAGATAAGCGAGTGTGTTTCAATTGATTCACGCTTTTGGGTGATCTGCCAAACAATGCAATATATATAAACTTTGTATACTTTAGGCACGGCACATCAGTGTCGGAAAAGAGTGTTTCTTGAATAACTTTTTGCTTGTGTTCGGTCTGCATTTTGTTCCTATTCACTTTTCTACAATAACTCCAGATGAATTTGAAGTAACGTATTCAGATCAGACAACGTTAGAAATACCTATTTTCAAGAAGAAAATGTTCCACTGATTTATCTAATTCCAATCCATCCTTAAATCGAAGTCAATTTAGACTATCCGTCACTATCTGGTGGTTACGAAACTTATGCACCACCAAATCCTCCACCTGTGTATGTTGATAAAGTAGGAGATTGTTCGTTTTCGGAACAATCTTATCGCAAGCGCCCATCAGTCGAATACTGGTCGGGATAGCAAGCGGACGCACAACTTATCTACACAATCGAACAGCAATGGCACTGGACCTGTATCATATGCCCGCTTCGGCACCTTGCCAATCGGTTCGCCTGCTGGCAAAGGCCATGAAATTGCAGCTCAACCTGATCCACTTGGATCTGTCCAAAGAAGAACACATGAAACCACAGTTTCTCAAGGTAAGTGTCCCGTTCAGCGTCGATTTGTACCACCCGTGTGACCTTTGATTGTTCCTCTACGTCCAGCTCAATCCACAACATGTGATTCCAACGTTGGTCGACAACGACTTTGTCCTGTGGGAATCGCGTGCCATCCTAATCTACCTGTGCGAAAAATACGGCAAGAATGACAAGTTCTACCCACGTGACCCGAAGAAGCGAGCCGTCATCAACCAACGGTTGTACTTCGACTTGGGAACTCTGTATGACCGGTTCGCTGACTGCTACTATCCGCTAGTGTTCGAAGGTCAGAAATTCGATGAAGAAAACTTCAAAAAGCTAGAGGAAGCTTTCGGTTTTCTCGAAATCTACCTGGGACAAAATACGTACGTTGCGGGCGACAAGATTACCATTGCCGATTTCAGCATCTTGGCGTCGATTACCACTATGAAGGTCTGTGCCGAGATAGACTTTTCCAAGTACGGCAACATCGAACGTTGGTATGCGCAACTCGCCGAAGAAGTGGCCGATCATGATGACGTTTGCGTCCAAGGGGCCCTGGGATTCCAGCCACACTTCCAAGCTGCCAAGAAGGCGGCCGAGGAGCAAGAATAGAGTTTAGCTGAAATAAAGTTACCCCAGAGGGGTTTTTTCGTGATAAGATAAGCGAGGTGTGATGAGTGTGTATTTCAATTGATACGGAACTTACCTTTACATATGTAGGGATCACCCGACCAACGTGTTTTGTTTTATCGCTTCGAAAAAAAAGTGATTACCATCGGTCTAACAGGGTCTGACCAACGTCGTTTTCTGCCTCGAATAAGTCTTCGTTATCGCGCACGTTTCCCTGTGGCCGTACTCGAGCGTAATGTGAGTTGTGACGAAAATATTTACTCTCGTCAGTTCAGTGGGAGCTGTTTCTGAAAGCGAAAGTCGAGCAATTTTGCTGCCATAATTTGCGATGCCACTGGATCTTTACTGCCACATAGTGGTACCGTTCTGTCGGTCCGTGGTCCTTTTGGCGGAGGCTCTCGAAGTGGAATTAAATTTCATCGAGGTAAACGTGCTTAAAAAGGAACAATTCAAACCAGAATTTCTAGCGGTGAGTTTTTTGTGGGACGCTTCAAGCGATCAGTAAGCACTGATCATCGCAGCAGGCATGTGCTACGATGACAAATGATGACGGTGGCGGTGAGTCACAATCGGGTTGCTGCGATTGTTTGAACTGTTGAAGATCTATAGATGTGTGGTATATCCAACTGATGTTGACTTTTGCTGTCGCAGCTCAATCCACAGCATTGTATTCCAACGCTGGTCGACGGTGACATCGTAGTCTGGGAATCGAATGCTATACTGATATACTTGGCGGAAAAGTACGCCAAGGACGACAAAAGGTACTACCCGACCGATATTGGCGAGCGTGCCAAAGTGAATCGATTGCTGTTTTTCCAACTTGGCACGTTACATCGAACGCTGTCTACCTATTACTATCCAATCCTAGCCGAACTCGGTGAGGGTAAGCCGGAGGATTTCCGGAAAATTCAGGATGCCGTATGCGTTTTGAACAAATTCCTAGATGGTAACAAGTGGTTGGCGGGAGAGCATCTAACCATTGCGGATTTCAGTGTGGTAATCAGCGTGGCAGCCCTTGAAGGAGTGTTAAAATTCGATCTGACCGGATACGAGCACGTTCACCGCTGGTATCAGCAATGCAAGAAAGAATTCAAAAGTTTCGGAGATATTACACAGGGTGCGAACGACAAATCCAAGGAGCTACTGGCAGCTTTAAGGCAGTACAAATTAGAGCAAATAAATGGTCCAAAGGAGGCGTGCTGTAGCAGGGAAATGCCTAAGCCACCGGGTCCGGATTCATCTTGACGGAACATGTGAGGCAGTGTGTTTGTGTGTGCGTTTAATTGGAGTGAAAGAAATGCCTTGCAAATTCAGAAGATCCGAGCGAGCGGTGTGGCACGGCTGCTGACATGTGAGCGTTCGCGTTAGCACGTTATCAAAGCTGTCTTATCAGGCTTACTGCGATCCAGTTAATTTTTGCAAAGTCATCGATGAGTGTTTGTGTACTTACCGGCTATTATAGCATTATAATATGCATTCACTGTTGACTGCAGCAAGGGAGCCATATGCATCGTCATTTGAAGTGGGTAATCTTCCTGGAACGATCAGGATAATAGAGCCACATTACATTGTATTGTCATAAAATAAAAACATTGTATCTTTGCTGTTTGTTAAACAATTGTTATGAAATAACGAAATTGTTATCGTTTCTCAGAATTACACGTAGTTTAAATAAAAATAAAAGTACTGGAGTGTGTCCTAAACACGACTGAATTATTGACGTAGGACTACAAGACGGCGCCGGTGGTGTAGTGGGAAGCGTAACTGCTTTCTAGCCCCAATGGGTCTGGGTTCAAGCCCAGCCGAGGTCGGTGGGATTTTTCTGAGGCATGAAACGTTGGTCACGTCTTCCTTCGGAAGGGAAGTTAAGCCGTTGGTCCCGGCCCATGTGTGTTGAATGCGTGCGACATCCTACCCAAGTGTGGAAGCTGTCTTCCTGCACATTCGATTGCCGTCAATGGATGGCAATCGATGTCCGTCGGTGATTGGCATTAGATTGCAGAACAGAGACCGACGTTAACTAAAGGAATTAATGAAACAAGATTGTTTTTGTTGCTCAATTCTTAATTATTCTAGAATAAACAAACATTCAATTCAATACTCAAAGTTATAAAAATAGACGACATTCAGCATCCTTAATTGAAGATTCAATTTTAACCTTCCTAGTGCATTATGGTCAATTGTGACCTGGAAACACTATGTTAATGTTTGGTAATGCATTACGGGGGTTAAAAATTTAAAATTAAGTTCCTTTTCCATCCAAAATTAGCGGCATTTTGTTAATTAGAATGCATTTCATAAAAACACGTTTTAAAACTATTCACCATTTTACATTTCGATGTTGTAGAATTATGACAGATAAACTGAATCTCATTTGAGTTTGTCTTTTACAGGGTGTCGACGCAATAAAATCAAAAATCCCTGATGTTCCCTGATTTTCCAGTCATTTTCAATAAAAAAAAATACCAGTTGCAGTGCTTACCCGTTTTTGGCAATATGACCCCATCAGCAATAACTTTCCTCCGATATTACTAGTGCTTTCTGGACAGTTTCTCATGACATACACCATGGACTTCTAACCCGTGAAAACTGGTCCAGTACAATTTCAAATTGAATAAAGCGTTCGACACATTTTATAGAATGCAAAAAAGACAATTACGTGTTGCCAAAAACGGGAAGGTACCGCACTTTTCTAAATAGGGGAAGGAGGGGCGTAGTGAGTTGCCCGTGCTTAAGCTTTGAATTTCTTAAGCAAACCCCACACGCATCAATATATTGACGCGAAGGGGAATTATTGACAATAAATTGATGATGTGAATTCAGAAATATTGTCAATCTCGATATATTGACGTCAATATAGCATGTATTGACAATACGATTATTGTCAATAAAAGCAATCGTGTAGGGTTCACTTTATGGTTCAAAACAAATTAATTCATCAATACTCATTGGAAATGGTGATGTTTAACCACAAACGAAGTGACAGACGACTCACTGGCGAAGAAATCCACTTAAATAATGTGGTTCACTGTAATAGAATTTTCTTGGAAGCTTGTGCCATCATCCACCAGATGGGTTAGTTTTTTTTTTGTTTTGATTTGAACAAAGTTGATTTGTGTACAATGATTCTTTGACAGTGTGCAAAGAGTGCGTATCATTTTGTCATTTTTTTATGCATTTCAGTTTTGAGTAGAGTGAAAGAGATAGAACCAAAATATTCTAGTACATTTGGTGAAAATGCTAGTTCAATCCAATAGTAGTGTTGCCATGTGGTACAATCCAGTAGTAGTGGTGTTGCCATGTGGTACACTGAAAAATTGCAATAGCAGGTTAGTCACCAAAGTTTTCGAGCCGCTCCGTCTGTCACTTCGTTTGTGGTTTAACCTGCTACCAATTAATTTGTTACGAACAATTAGATGTTTGGGACTGATGCTCATCATGCCCCATCTGTTCACTATGCCCCTCTTGAGACTACACCCATTTTAAAAAGTGGCAAACGCCAGGTAATCAGTTTAAGCAGTGACCGTGATGTTACAATGATTGATATAGCTTTATGACAAAGTTAGAAGATACTGAGAGGTACGTGTGTGTGTGTGATGAAAATTAAGATCAAGGTGACTACATATAGGTGTTCTAATGTGTCAAATTCATGATTCAGCCATGTTGGATTTTTGTATGGGACAGCGACAGAGTTTGTTTACAATTTGCACTAAAACCGCACTTCCCCCCCGCGACCTCCTCGCCTATATAGTGACAAAGCTGTATCACCATTTATATACCCACCATGATTAAGATCACCGGTGCCCTTAGATTAGACTCACTCACACATGTCTCTTATCGATGATATGTGCATGCCTCTCAGTATCTCAGTAGATGAAAAGTCCTAAACCCCAATTAAAAAAAATATTCATGGCGACGTGTGAACGAAACTACAGCCATCTCGATATAATTCTACAAAAAAGGGTTTAAAGTTTTCAGCAAGTTCATGATCCGTATCTTACCTCAAACTACTGCATGATACGAGAAAAGGGGTCTTTGTCATGGCAATTCACCCTTAAAAGTTCTTTTCTGACTGTTTCAGGACTTTGCCCTAGGGGAAAAAATCCTAAACTTCTCCTACATCTTCATGGTGATCAGCAATTCTCGATTAGCAAATATACCGGTCATTTCTCCATTTTTTTCCCAGAATTTTGAAAATTTTCCTGGTTAATTTGATTTACATTTGAATTATGTAAGCATAAAACTGAATGCGATTGAACCGATGAGATCACTAGGTTAAATGGGTCATTTCTAAGACAGCAGCATCTTTCCTGGATCTCGAATTTTATTCTGCGACACACGTTCGAAGTCATCACAAATTGTTTATGAAAATTCGCACAAAACTTTACAGGATTTCCCTTTAGCATAATGTCAAGGGAATGCCAATAGCGAACACTGTAGTTTAACCAATTGAAATTCAATGTAATTGTTTCATAGAAATATAACCCTGCGCTTCGGTCAGAGAGCGTATAGGGCGTCGTTGTGCCAATTTGGTCGTGGCACATTTCGAGTATGAGAGAGTAATTGCAGTTAGCTCAAAAGTGCCTGAGAAAAATGCAAGTACTTCCGCAGATTACCCGAAGTTGCGATAGTGAAGGTATGATCACAGAAAAGCAGACATAACACTCTTAAAACGTTCATAAAAATCGTTTTTAACGGTCAATTTAAATGTTTCTTAGTTGGTAGTACTGCCATTTGTGGTGCACATAATCAATTCCCTAGCGTTTGACGTTTACACACTACAACCATCTGTTGAGTGTATTGCCCATTAAAGTATATACGACAGATGGCGGTAGGGTTTATAATTATAAATTTTCAATGTGTTGTGTATGCTTGTCTGTGAAATAACATTGAGGTAACGTTAGGATAAATTCAAAACATTGAGAAATATTACGCATCACTTTCAGAAATACTTCACTTCGCAACCGATGAACCATTCTGACGGCCATATGAGTACCCAAGTAACCATATAGTCGCAATATAGCTTGTATATTCTTACTTTGCTTGAGTATGGTTAGTTGGGGAATCTGATGAAACTGTCACTTCTTGAAACTGATCCCTTTCGTATTTCTTTCATTCTCCTTTCGCAAACGGAGCGCTCGATGGACCAGTGACTTTGGACGTGAGCCTCGTCCCAGATCACCATGGCAATTCAATAACATATGGTGGACATCAAACCGACCAAAAAATGCGGAATCATATTAGAACCAACCAACCAAGGACGGTCTACGGAAGGAAATTGCCGGTGAAGCACGGAATGAAATACGAAGCGTTAGAGAAAAAGTCCAAGGGATTCCAAAAGAAGCAAATAATGACGGCGGAAGAGCAGAATATGGTGAGAGCTTTCCATTTATTAATAAAAAAAAAAAAAAAAAAAAAAAAATATCAAAATTACACTAAATACATGCCAGGGTTGAAAAGAATATTTTCGAACCTGGAAGTGTGTATGTATCACCAATATCCATTTGATAACGGTGATGCATACATGCGGGGCTTATTGTGAGTGAAAGTAACCTCGGAATGGGCGTGACTCTCCAGACATTCTGAAATGGGTTGCTGGATCTGCAATAGAGCTATCACCTTCTAACTCCCGGACTAAAGCTGTCTACAATGACCATAAATGCGACATTGTAGAGAGAGTTCTTCCATAATAACACTGCCGGCCAGTGGGGGTTAGAGGGAATACACACACACACACACACACAATTGTTTCATAGAAATATAATTTAAACTCACAACAGAACTGATCTATCCCCGTTTACACAAGGCATAGGGCAATATTTAAATTTGCCAACATTGTGCTACCATGTTGATTGATACCTATTACTATTCCTTGTTCACCTTTACTTTTCTGATGAATGCCATGAATGTTGCATATCGTATGCAGTCCCAAAACGCAATGTTCCAGTTGGGCCGTAATAACTATATGAAGGAAGAGCTAATCAAAATTTCGAACTGAAGAATAATTAAATCAAAGGCATATTTACATCCCTGGTGACAGAATTCTGATCTAAACTGTTCAGCATATACAATAGGTCTTGTCTATCCGAACAAATTTGCCAAAGGCAGCAAGTCACTTGGTACACTAGCGTCGCTTAGTAAGGAAATTCCGAACTAAACTGCCCAATATACAATAGGTTTTATGCCTCAAAATAACTTTGCCAAAAACAGCAACCTTCTATCTTGTTGAGCTGTCAAGTTAAAGCAAGTAATTAGATTTCAAATTGT